CTTCTACCCAGCCCAGACACTCGTATGGACGACCTGCAAGATAAAACTAGCATTTGTAATGTGATTCAAAGTAGGTTTTAGTGAAGACCTTAAATAATATTAAAATGAGGATAAGCTTCAAAATCCTCATCTCGACTCCTCTGCCAGCTCCCCCCCCTTCCTCCCCCTCTTCCTCGCCAAGATCGAGTCCCCCTCCAAGTGCTTCCACCTCCAAGTCATCCAGACACTTGGCCACAATAGGAGGTTAGTGGAAACGATCGGACGGGTTCCTCATCTCGACTGGAAGCTGTGCTGAGAGGTAGTCATGTCCGGCCTTGCAAGCTATTGCCACTTCCGTTTTGCCAGTAAGGCCCTGGCGATACCCCTCAATGATCTCCTCACGGTAGGGTCCGGACTCGAGGTAGGCATTGCGGCTTTGGGTCACTGTCAGAGACTCCTATAAGTAGGCGACCTTCCCCTGAAGCTTGACGAGTGTTGCATGCTCCTCGTTTATCTAACGCTTCGCATGCGTCGCCGCCTGCTTCTCGGCCTCGACCTACACCATAACGCGGTCCCTCTCCTGGAGAGCCTCATCTAGTCTCCTGGCCTTACTGTTGTTCTCATGCAGCTCTCGCCTGAGCCTGTCGACCTCGAAAGCTCTTGGGGTTGGCGTCTCTACAGCCCGTTCCAAGTAGACCCCTCTGTCGACCCTCAGGGAAGTAACCTCCCCTAAAAGCTTGAGATATGAAGTCCGGATCTACTCCATCAGGCCGTATATCTCCTGCTCCACCAAAGTGCCTCAAACCAAGTAGCTTCGAAGGCTTAAGTGAAGGCCAACATTGGGAACCCCCTGCAAGCACTCACCCCGCGGAAGCCAGAACTGCTCAACCGCCCTCGACCGAGTTAGGCGAGAGCCAAGGATCGTCCCCCTGACATCGAGATGGTGAGCAGGTTGGTAGCGATGCTCTGGGTCAGGCTCTTGTCCATATCGAGGGCCGACCCCCGAAGTCCCAATAAGGTACTGTCTCATCCTTTCCCATTCTTCCCCCTATCTCAGTAACACAATAGGGATAGGGATACTCCAGCCCAGCGGGAGGCGTTGTCTCTTCAGCCGGCTCTTTTCGTGATGGGACGACTCACCATAATGAGCAGATGGCCCCGCTTCGCCAGCATAGGCTCTAGCCTCGGCTCCAACCTCTTCTTAGGGAGCTTCAACCTCTTCTTCTAGAGTCAGCTCGTTCAGATGGATGACGTCGATCTCGACCACCTCGACTGTGGCCTAAGGCACTTTCTCTTCATCCCTTTGTGGCCGCCTCCTTCGCCTATGGACGAGTCCTCGGTTATCTCGGCCTTCATAGGGTATAAATCGAGGTGGAGACGCTTTTCGGGCCTTGATGATGGCCCTTCCTGGGGTCGGTCAAAGGAGCGGACGTCGCCATCGCCGCTTCCGCTGTTCCTAAAATCAGGGCCGAAGCCTTCTCCTGGTCATTGGCGAATGGAGGCACGACATACACGTTGACAACCCGCAAGACGGAGTTGTCAAGTAGATGCTCGACTCGGCGAGAGCCAGCATACGCCTTGATCTGATCTAGCACATCCCTCTCGGCGTCAAGCAGGTCGCCGGTCATTAGCCTCTCCTTATTCAGGCGAGTTCGAACAGCCCTGCTCTAAGTTGTCCCCCACGACCCAGACGAATTTCTCCTTTCAGTCCTTATGCGAGTCAGGAAGACCAGTTATAAGCTTGTACTTCCCCCACCATTTGAAAATGGAAGTGGGGTTCATTCTGGTTCACCTTCACAGTCACCAAGCAGCCCAAGACTCGCAAGAATGGTTTTATTGCCAACAAATGACAAATCACCACGAACCCCACCAAGGTTGTGATGGCGTTCGGCTTCATCTGGGCCGGCATTACCCCTAGCATCGTGAAAACTTGCTGGAGGAAAGGGTGTAGGGGTAGCCGCAGGCCAAATTTCAAATACCTCAAATAGAGCAGACCCCGATCTGGCCCAAGATCATATACGATCTCCGACCTTGTCAGGGTCATCAGCTTATACTCTCGAGGGATATCAAACCTCCCGTGGAGCGTCCTCTTCTGCGCCTGGGTCACCTTGGAGTGGATCTCCGTCAGAAGAGCTCGTCGGTCTACAGGATCTGATGTCATCATAGAATGTTGAAATGATCACCGAAAAAAGATGAACGGGAAAGATCTTGAGTTCTCTAAAGGGAATTTTAAAAGATAATAACTGTCATCTCCATCGCCCTGGTTCTACATATAGGCAGCTGAATCTACAACTGCCAGAATTTAAACGGTCAGATCAAGCTTTGGCTAACGGCCAAGATTAATTCTCAGAATCTGAAGCGACACCTCAATGATTGAGGTGCAGCCCCCTCACCTCGAATAGCCCGCAATCTGCCAAGAAAAAAGAAGCTGTGGCAGTCAAAAAGAATGTGTGATGACGTCAGCCACGTAAAATCTAAAGAGACTTTTCAATTCTCTCATTTAATGCACACACACGTCCGTCCAAAACTATTCTCATTTCACTCGAATTCAGGCCAAGCCGACTCCAAGTAAAATGGGCCAACTGTTATGATGTTCTCAGTCGCCAAAGTACGGCCCTTTGCTAGCAACGGACAGGTGTCCCCTTACAAGCACCGCTCAAACCAGATTGACTGTCAAAATTATCAAGGATCTCGACTTAGCCGACCCGCCGAGTCGACATCCCCTCGACTCGAAGGGTGATACTTGTCGATCCTCTTATCGAAGACGACTCGCTATGAACCCACTCGACCAGTTATTTGACGCATCGCGAGGTCAACTCGAAAGATGTTACTTTTCGACCAAGTTAAAGGACGACTTCAACCTCTAACCTCTCCCGCTGACAGCACGTCGACGTCACATTTAATGCTTGGTAGGTGCCATCATACCTCTAACCCCGATAGTCTTTATGACACATTAGGCCACGTCGGCACTGCCATGCACCCAATCACTTCGCATTAAATGTTAAGATATGATCTCTTCACTCGCCGACCGACACGTGTAAAGTAGGTGTTGACGCAGCAACCACGCCATAACTATTTGCCGTCATTTTGTGTTTGTATGTAGGGAAAAATTGCAAAGAAAAGAACAAAGAAAATTGATTTGTATTCCTTTGTTTCTGATTACAATTTGATTACAAAAGAGAAGAGAACGAATTTGATTCTCTCCTTTGTTTAAAACCGGGTTCTTCACGGTGGCGATGGAATGCCTCCTTCGATTGCTCGCGTCGAATTTGCTCTCCGTTGACGATCCGACCGTCTTCTATCTCGTGGGAACGATGAACTTCTGTGGAAAGTTTTATAAGTAACTCTTCAACGAGTTTAAGAACTCTGAACGAGTTAGAACTCTGTTAATAGAGTTGTTAGAACCGATAATTGATGAACGCGAGGGTCGCTCGCGTTTTGGTTTGTTGTAGCTTAGAGACGCGGGGGTCGGTGTTGGCTGGACCCCTACGAACGCGAGGGTGACTTGGAAACGCGGGGGTCGCTTGCATTTCCAGAATTGTAACGCGGGGATGACATCCGCGTTTCAGAAGGAGCTTTTTGACTTGTAACTTCTTCTGTGAAGCGTTGCTGTTTGTGGAAAATTTTGCAGTAAAAGAAACGAAGGAAAATTGATTTGTATTCCTTTAATCTCGATTACAATTAGATTTCCTGATTACAAAAGAGAGGAGAATGATCTGGATTCTCCCCTTTGTTTAATTCTGGGTTCTTCACGGTGGCGATGGAGTGCCTCCCTCGAATGCTCGCGTCGAGTTTGCTCTCCGTTGACGATCCGATGTCTTGTTTCACTGGAACATGGTCTTCTCCTCACGATTTGACGTTGTAGAGAACTTGCGTGGCAAGTTTGAAACTCTGGACGAGTTGATAACTCTGGACGAGTTGGAAACTCTTGAAAAAGAGTTGATTTGAACCGAGAATCGGTTCTCAAGGTTGGCATCTTGTTGGAAGCTGCGTTTGGCGGCTTGGAAGCTGCGTTTGGCAGCGGATGGAAGCTGCGTTTGGTAGCGATATAGAGTTGCGTCTGGCAGCGCTTGGAGCTGCGTTGAGCAGCGGTTGGAGCTGCGTTGAGCTGCGGTTGATAGTTGCGTTGGGCAGCGGTATAGAGATACGTTAGGTAGCGGTATAGAGCTGCACTGGGCAGCGGTTGGAGCTGCGTTGAGCAGCGGTTGGAGCTGCGTTGAGCAGCGGTTTGAGCTGCGTTGAGCTACGGTATGAGCTGCGTTGAGCTGCGTTCGTGGCTATGAACGCGATGCGTCTTGATGCTGGTGTGCGGGGAGGACTTCCACAGTTTGATTTGAAGAGACCGTCGATTTGTAGTCTCTTTCTGTCGAAGCGTTGCAAAGATCGTCATTTTGTAATCTTTGCTTTAGCTCTCTGATATATGAGAGTCGTCAGATTGTAACTCCCGATGTTGATTATGAAGGCTGTTTGATTAGAGCTTCGTGAAGGTCGTCAGATTGTAACCTTCAACGATCTACGTGAAAGTCTTCAAATTGTAGCCTTCTGGAAGTCGTCAGATTGTAACTTCCATCATCGGTGTTTGATGAGGATCAGCTATCTATTGTGATTTTTAGACAGCCTACAGAACCCCTTCCAAAGTTTTCGAAAGTTCGCGGTTGACTGGGACGAATTTTCGGAATACTTTGGATCTCAAATTGTAGTCTTCTGGAAGTCGTCAGATTGTAACTTCCATCATCGGTGTTTGATGGGGATCAGCTATCTATTGTGATTTTTAGACAGCCTACAGAACCCCCTCCAAAGTTTTCGAAAGTTCGCGGTTGACTGGGACGAATTTTCGGAATACTTTGGATCTCAACTCTGATCTTGGAGCTGTTGATTCCTTGTGGTAAAGGATTTGTTCTCTGCACTTGCTTCGAAGGCATCATGGTTGAAGGGATTTGCCACAGTGGCTTCCGTGCATTTTTGACTAAGTCTTTGAGACTTGTCTTTGGCTCATCTGTTTTAAGTCTCGGCTCACATCCATTAAGCTGATGGACCTGCAAACGTGCATAGGA